AAGGGTCGGGACTTCCAGGGACCCCGTTCGAAAAAAATCAGGACGTCGCATGTCTGGGAAGGTACCCATACGGCTACCCTTCGCCCGTTTTTCCCTACGTCGCCCCCCTGGGAGACCCTCGTCGCCACCGTTGGATTCGCTTGGGAATCCTGATCAGGACGCACCCTGGGAGAGGTCCGGGGAGCAGCCGCATCGGTACCTGCTGGTTTCCCCAGGGACGCGGGAGGAAGCCTCAGGCGTAGAGTCTTTCTTCGCCGCGAGGAGTGCGCGGGCGGCCTCGGGCATCGAAGGCTGGTGTGCTGGAAGGGGAGCGACCAGCGCAAGCTACCGCACACGCGCACAGGACTTCAACGGCTGATCCGTTGCATGCTTCGCTTGTTTGTCCGGAGCGATCTCCGTTCCTCAGAAATGCTCCTCCCGTTCAGAATGAGGCCCTCAGCCCACTGCGCGCCACATTTCTGGACTGGCTTCCCTGCTAGCATGAGTTTTGTGCAGCTTGTTATTGTGCACGCTTCCGAAAACCGTCCCCCCTTTACCACATGTTTGCGAGCACTGTCTACCAACGGGGTTCAGCCCTCTCCTTGTCCTCGTCGCCCCCCGCCGCGGGCCCCCCTTCCCCCGCCCACTCATCCTCACCCTCTTGCGCCTCCCCCTTGATCTGCCCTTCTTCAACGTCGTGCTGCTGCCGGACACTGCGTGCCCCGCCGGGGTTCCCCGGGTTTTTGCCGCCGACAGAATCCTCCCTGCCTTCCCTCCTCGAGCCTTCCTGGCGCTCGCCACTCCTCCTCCTCCCTTCATCCCCGTTCTGCGCGTTTCCTCCCCACGACCCTCCCCTTTCTCCACCACCCTGCTCTCCCCCTCCAACTTTCGCCCTGTGTCCTCCTCGCGCGGATTTCTCCGCCTTGCACTCCCCCCCCGCGCCGCCGCTGCCCCTGGCGCGGGACACCGGCGCGGCCCATGGCCCATTTTTAAAGCAGCGGTGATTGTCAGCCGGGGAGGGTGCAGCTGCAGGGACGTTTTGAGGCCACCCCCTCCTCTCAAGCAGTGGCGAAGCGTCCTGGCGTGCCTATAGGCCTACCAAACAATGTTCTAAAATCCTTTCTGTGGTTTCCACGACATGTTCTTATAACATTTCTGGCTGGGACTGTCTTGCTTTAATACGTCTGGGTCATGTTCTAAGAACGTCGTTGTTGTGCTTAGAAAGAGCGTGTTCTGTTCTAAGAACGTCGTTGTTGTGCTTAGAAAGAGCGTGTTCTACCGCTGCTGGCGGAAAACCGGGGGGGGTCGCTACCGGTTCGAACCCCCCCCCCCCCCCCCCCCCTCCGGAAAACCGGGGGGGTCACTACCGGTTCGAAACCCCTCCCCCCCCCCCCCCCCCTGCTCATCATGAAAGGGGGGGGGTCACTACCGTTCGAACCTCCCCCCCCCCCCCTCCGGATCCGGAAAACCGGGGGGGTCACTACCGGTTCGAACCCCCCCCCCTCGAAAACCGAGTGGGGGTGCGGACAGTGGTGGGGACGGTGTTGGTGGGGACAGTGGTGAGGGGATAGCGGGACAGTGGTGGGGACAGTGGGACAGTGGGACAGTGGTGGGGACGGTAGTGGTGGGGACAGTGGTGGGGACAATGGTGGGAACAGGGGGGGACAGTGGACAGTGGTGGTGACGGTGGTGGTGGGGACAGTGGTGTGGGGACAATGGGAATGAGGTGGAAACAGTGGGACAGTGGAGGGTACAATGGTGGTGGGGACAGTGGTGAAGGCGGTGGCGAGGACGGCGGTGGGACAATGGGACAGAGGTACAGTGGGGACAGTGGTGGGGACAGTGGGGACAGTGGTGGGAACAGTGGGACAGCTCAGTGGGACAGCTCAGACAGGTGGGGACAGTGGGGATAGTCGGGCAGTGGTTGGGGCCGTGGAGACAGTGGGGAGAGTGGAACCGTGGTGGGAACAGTTCTGGGGACAGCGGGGACAGTGCGACAGTGGTGGGGCCACTGGTGGGGACAGTAGGGGCGGTGGTGGAACCAGTGGGGACAGCGGTGGTGAGGACAGTGGTGCTGGGAACACCAGTGGGGGATGTGATGCGGACGGTGGTGGGGACCGGGAGTCGTTTGCTGGCGGTGAGTAGGGGGGGGGGGGAGGGGGGGGGTTTTCGAACCGGTAGTGACCCCCCCCCCGGTTTTCCGGATCCGGAAGGGGGGGGGGGGGGTGGGGGGAGGGGTTCGACCGGTAGTGACCCCCCCGGTTTTCGAGCGGGAGGGGGGGGGGGGGGGGGGGAGGGGTTAGGGGAGGGGGGGGTTTTGCCGGGGGAAGGGGGGGGGGGGGGGGGGGGGGGGGGGGAGGGTTCCAGCAGGGGGGGGGATTTTCGGGGGGGGGGGGGGGGCGACCCCGGGTTCCGGAGGAAAAGGTTGGCAATTTTCCACAGTAAAGCGGCGGTGGATCACGCTCTCTCTGTGCTTAGAACATTCTGGGGTTCTAAGAAAACTTCGTGGTAATTCGGTCTATAGGAATGCCGGGACGGTCGGTCTCTGCTGAATCCTCCTCATGCCAAACCCGGCCTCGTCTCGTCGTGAATTCACGGCGGGAAGTCTGTGGCCGTTTTTGGCCTCTGCGGAATGACAACCCAGGCCCAGGGAAAAGGTCAAGACCTTGGGGGATCCGCGTCGTGAAAAACGCGATGTCGGATTTGTGGGAAGCTTGGGGCAACGGTGTGGCTGGTTAACGGTGCGGCCTGGATCCTGGCTTCTGCGACAGTGCATTTCCGATGCGGGCACCAGCTGCGCAGACTAGCCTCGCCTACAAGGCGGCGTCGCACTGCGCCGTTACTACGGGCCGTAAAATTTGCCCGCCTTCTTTCAGATCCGAATTTGCGAAAAATCCATCATCGCAACACATCACCGCCAGAGCCCAAGACACAATTTTGGTTATTTCTTTTTCGAGCCGGATCGATCCGTGATGGTCCCTCGGGGTGACAACGCTTGGGTCGAGAAATTGAAACGCCCGTATCGCAGGGTTCGGTCATGTTTCTTCCCCTTCCTTTCCCTCGGCCTCGCCCGTCAGGGGCAACAGTATGGTGCGAGAGGCTCAAGGGGGACTGCGTCGATCTCCAGTCGCCCACTGATCACCGATTGGGGGCCCGCTTGCCCACCCCCCAGGAACGTGCGGTTTCGCTATCCAGGGCCTATCGCCGATCTATCTGCGGTGTATCGCCGATTCTGGGTCGATGTTCCGCCCCTTGTGCCAGTCCCCCAATGCCGTTGCCCCTCGATCCGTCTTGCTCTGGCCCCCCCCCCGTCCCAGTGTCCTCCTCCTCCTCCTCGGTCCTCCTCCTACTCCTCCTCCTCTTCCTCCTCCTCCTCCTCCTCCTCCTCCTCCTCGATCCTCCTCCTCCTCCTCCTCCTCCTCCACCTCCACTGGGGGGGGTCGTGACGTCTCCGCGGGTGCTCCCACCCCCGTGGTCCTGGCTGCGGGGCCGGCGCAGGGCCCGCCGCTTTTCAAGACGCCCCCCCCCTCCGCTGGGGGCCTGACGACTCTTCGCCCAGCGACCCGTGGGGATCAAGCCGGGAGCAGGAAGCGCACCACCGCCACCAGCTGGGGGGTGCTCTGCACGATGTGCGGGATGCGGGATGCGGGTGTACACGATGCTCCGCGAGAGCGCCCGAAACGACGTACACCACCACCACCACCACCACCACCACCACCACCACCACCACCACCACCGCCACCACCGCCACCGCCACCACCACCAGCACCACTCCTGACCACCCTCTGCCTCAATCCTCCAGGTGGTGGTGGTGGTGGTGGTGCTTTTTCCCTTTCTGTAGCAAGCTGGGTACATCAAGGTGAGCGAAGGTAGTTAACTGCATCAAAACCAATGTGAATCCAGGTAAGCACCAGTGAATCGTGGCCGCTCCAGCGCGAGTCGAGGGACGGCAGAAGTCGTTAAGCCCTTAACGATCCCCGCCCGTTTTGCCGCACGCGCTCCTCAGGGGCTCCAGAACCTTCACGCCGGAGGCGTCCACTGCACTGCCGACCTGGTACTTTCGAGACGCAGGCGAGGAGGATGAGGAGGAAGGCATGCGGAGGATTGGTGAAAGATAGGAAAGTGGAGAGAAAGGAGGATGGGGAGGAGGAGGAGGAGGTTGGGGGGAGAAACATAAGGACAACATGCTGACAACAATACTTGTCAGCGTGAATCCCGCACTGTGGGTTGTTCTATGATCGATACGCGCCCGATGCCGTGCACCACATTCAAGGCAAAACAAGTGTGCAAGATATGTGATGCACTGTATGTTGCGCAGTCTACGCGGTTCAAAGCTATGAGGTGCAAGCTAGAGGTTGAAAGCCGTCGGGTGCAACACCTAGCCAGAGAGCGTGTTCTGTGTGGTGCAATCTGGGGCGTGCGTTTTATCGGGGGAGGTCGATCTATCTGGTGCAAGCTTGTTGGTGCAGGTTGTGGAACGCCGTAGCCCAAGCAGTGTTTGCACTCGGTGGAATGACTCCTGTTCTTGATGAGTCTGCCGGCTCTGCCGGGTCCTCGCCTGCTTCGCCCGTGCCCGCCTCGTGCTTGCTCCGTGCATCTGCTGGCGTTCTGGGTCTTGGCTCGGCGTCCGCACCTTTCCCCGTGCGTTCTGCTGCCCCCTCGAACGAAGGATTGCAAAGAAAAAAAACCCAGTTTTTTTCAATCCTTCGTTTTTTTGCAAAAAAAGGTTTTTTTTTTTGTTTTTGCAATCCAGGGTTTTTTTTTGCACTCGGTCTGCGCCCAGTCCGTGCCCGCCGCGTGCCCGCTCCGCGCACTGGCTGGCCTCCTGGGCTTGGGTCCGGTGCCAGCCCGACCCCCGTGCGTGTCGGCAGCTCGCTCGCCCGCAGGTTGTGCGCCGAAGAGAGCGCGCGGACAGATCTAGCGTGCACAAGACTGGGCGACACTTCTCGCCCAAGCACTGCCAATCCGGAACGCTAGCCGGAACGCTGCCAATCCGCAACGTTACCTCGCTTCCCTCCCCCATGGAGGCTGTCGTGTGCAGGGCACCGAGCAGCGGGCCACCAAGTTCAATGATTGCTGGTGATTGCGTACCTTTCCCCTTGCACGGCGTGGTTCTTTTTGGGTGGTCTTCCTGCACGTGCGAGTTCGCACTATTTCCGTACCGATGCGCCGTCTGGGTGCGGCTTTGTGTGTGTTCTGCATTTGGCCAGCCCTCTCCCGGTCGCGGCATGCCCCCAGGCGATCCGACAGCGCAGAGCGCTCGACACCTGGCCGGTTCTCAGCGACCGGCGGCCTTCCACGGCGATGGGGCTACAGGGCGGTAGGCGTGTAGAGCTATAGGGCTATAGGGCTATAGGGGCATCAGGCTATAAGGCTGCAGGGCTATTGGGCATATAGGGCTATAGGGCTGATGGGCTATTGGGCAATCGGGGCGCAGCGAAGCTGCTCGCGGAGCTCAGCGGCAAGTGAGCGCATGAGGGAAGGCTAGCGCCACAGCCCCAGAACAAGTGGGAGGTAGCAGCAGCAGCAGCAGCAGCAGCAGCAGCAGCAGCAGCAGCAGCATGCCTCCGACCAATTCGAACTCGTTTTGCTCCCCGAGGTGTCAGAATCGCGGAGAACCTTCGAGGGAGTTCGAGGTTGGCGGAGCTAATTCGGCGAGGTTCGATTGCTCGTGAAGTTTTGGAGTTTCGGCCCTTTCCCGCCCCCGCGGCCGATAGCGCAGGAGTGCCCACCGCCCCTGCGGTTCATGTGACCCGACCCGGCCGTGCCAACGCACTACAGCGGATGGGCGGGCCCCCCAAATTCATGGCCGTCATTATGTGATTGTGCACGTGTGCAACATTCAAGGTGGAGCGGGTCGGGTGGGTGGGATGAGTGTTCGGGCAGTGGGGTTGACAAATTCGGCAGGGTGAATTGCACCACGTATATTGCACTACTTACATTTCACAGCATAGATTGCACCACGAAGGTTGCACCATATATATATATATATATATATATATATATATTGCATTTGGTCTCATCGCTTGTGCATTCGCTTTCTCCCCTCCCGCTGCCTCTTCCCCTCAAGCCTTTCTGCCGTGAACAGTTCATGGCCGCCTGGGTGCACGCTGCAGGCGGGTGGGTTCTCGGCGCGCTCTCCGAGCGCTGGACTGGACCTGGCCGCAGCGGGATCGCCGAGGTCTCCTGCCGCTGCGTGTTCGAGGGCTCGGACACGACCGACGGCCTGGTGGCCATCCTCCGGGAGCAGCTGGCACGCTGCGGCCCGGAGCACCTGCAGGGGGTCGCGTGCCAGCCCTGCCCTCCGTGCCCGCTCCCGCCTGGGCACTACACGGGGCTCGACCTCTGCGGCGCGGCCGTGGTGGGCGTGGCCCTTGGCGCTGGGCTCGCGACCGCGGGCTGGCTGGCGGCGGGCTCGCCTGGACGGCCGGCGGCGCGAGCGCGCGCCCTCGCCGTCGAGGACGACGCCGGCGGCACGCACGTGGCGACGCCGGCGGGCCTCGGGCGTGGCCGTCGGGCTCCTGGTGCTCGTGCTGATTGAGGGCCGCCATGGCCCGTGCGCTGGACACCCCGTTCAGCCAGTGCCTCGTCAGGTACGAGGACGACGAGAACTTCCAGTGGCATCACCGTGTGCTGCTGGTGAAGGGCGATGCCCAGAAGTGGATCTGGCTCACGCCGGATGGGGAGGTGGCCTTCGTCGACCTGGCCACGTTCCGTGTGCTGGCCCTTCGGCGGTCGGGCCCCTTCCCGGCGCGGCATGCGGGCAACATCTACGCCTTCGACGAAGTGGCGCCGGAGGACATGCAGGGCTACCTCGAGGAGGCCAGGGCGCTGGGGACGATCCTCGGGTTCGACCTCGCCGGCGTCGTGGGCCTCCCCGGGGACAAGTGGTACGTGAGCGACCCCACCTCGTCGCACTTCGGCGAGGAGGTGCCGCCGCAGGTCCTCGCCAACGAGGAGGTCCTGGTGCGGCGTGGGGATGTTGGGCTCGTACGGCTGGACGACGTCTGGGTCCACGCGATCAAGGTGGGCGAGGGTCAGAATTTCGACACGCACCTCGCCCGAGCTCGCGGGGGCGCGGGCCGGGACCCGCGCATCGTGGGCGACGACAGGGACCAGGATGGAGGCAGGTACATCGACTTCCGGGACTCGGTGCGCCGCATGAAGGAGGCGACGATACCGGGCTGGCCGCTGCAGGGCCGCCGAGCGACGAGGGAGGCTGTGCTTTCGCTTCGAGACGGTGGTCAGGGCAACTGGGAGGAACACCACACCACGTGGCTCCGCCGCAGCGGAGTGGCCGAGCGCGGGAACGTCGCCCGGGAGCACCACATGATCTGCGTGTCTCTTCGGATGATGCAGCAGTTCGATCAGCTCGACCTGTTCAACATTGCGGGCGCCGAGTATCTCGTCAGACGGCTCAAGCAGCTGGAGTCGGCGACCCGCAAGAACCCTCGGGCCCCCGACTTCGAGGGACTCGACCTCATCCTCGACACGGGGGTCGACGACACGGGCGGCATGGTGCTGCCGGAGTTCGACGGATGGGTTGGCGACCAGGCGCGTGCCCGCGCTCAGACCATGAAGGCGAATCGGCAGTGGCAGGAGGAGAGGACGGCCGCGCAGCCCAAGGCGCCCCCGAAGGGGCCGAAGGGTGGCGGGGCCGACGGAGGCAAGTAGCAGGGGGCCGGGCGGCCCCCTTCTTGGGCTGGGCGTCCTGCGGCGCCCCGCCCTGCCTGGCTGCCGCCGCGGGTTCCTCCGCCGCGGCCGCCTCCTCGTCCTCCTCATGGCATCGGGATCACGCTCCTCGCACGGGAACCGCTGCCGCTTTCGGTCCCGGGGCCTGCGCCGCCGGTCGACCTCAGCGGGGCGCCGCGGTACCTGCGCCAGCGGGTGCTCCAGCGTCGCTCACGTGAACACCGTGTTCGTGAGGCAGTACATTCGATCAACTGTCTCGCCGCCTGCACGGTGCGCCATCGGGGCCGCGGGCCAGGTGGCGCTGCCGATTCAGGGGCTGCGGGTACGGCTACCTCGTCCTCGTGTGGCCGGCAGCTCGGCCGCTGCGTGGCGGAGTATGGCCCTCGCCCGGCAAATCTCCACCCTCGCGGAGCCCTTCAGGAGCTCCTCAAGTCCGACTCGCTCTACGGAGGCGCGCCGTCCAAGGTCGTCCCGTACGAGGAGTCCAAGCTCAAGTTCTGGCAGTCCTCGGTCACGCCTCGAGACGTGGAGGAGGTCTGCCCCAAGATCGTCGTCGACGCCTTCCGCGACCCCGACGCCTACATCCGCAAGCCGGACCGCGTGGTGGAGCAGGACCTCGAGCTCCTGCCGCCGATCAAGCCGTACTGGGACGCGCGGCTTGCCAGCGACGCCAGCCTTCGGCGGGACTTCCTTCTCAGGCTCGCGGGGCGGGGACTGGTCGGCTTCCGGAGGCGCATCAGGTCACGTGTGGGGTGTTTTTTCGTCGAGAAGAAGGGCGGCTGGATCCGCCTGGTCGTCGACGCTCGCGACACCAACCGCACCCACTGGGCGCCGCCGCATGCCGCCCTCGGGACCCCCGCCGCCCTCAGCGAGCAGGACTGGTCCGATGCTGCGCTCTCGGACGCTGGATGGGTCAGCGCTGATGGCTCTCCCGCTCAGATCTTCGGGTCGTCCCTCGACCTCCAGGACTCGTTCTACCAGTTCTTCTCGGAGCGCGTCGCGGAGGATTTCGGGATGGACTTCCCTGAGCGGGCCTCGTACTACCAGGTCTCCCACATCTGGACGCCCGACGGCCTGTCCCCTGTCGACCCCGACGAGCTCGTCTTCCCGGTCTTCCGCGGGGTGCCGATAGGGTGGTCATGGGCACTCTGGGCCGTGCACTCGTCCGTCACGTCCTGGGTCTCTGACACGCTGCCGGGGGGTGCCCGGCGCCTGCTGCTCGACAAGCAGCCAGCTCCCGTCGCGGCACCCTTCCGCCCCACGGGGTCGGTCTACGTGGACAACGTCTCGTTCCTGGGCCTTTCGAGCGACGACGTCGGGCAGGCGCTGCAGGCCGCGAAGGACAAGCTCGACTCGCTCGGCATCGCGCGCCACGAGGTCGAGGGCCCGGCCACACACTTCAGCACCGTCGGCGTCGAGTACGACGGGAGGCGGAGGCGCCTGCGTCATTCCGATCACCGAGCCTGGCGCCTCTACTTGGCCTGTCAGGAGCTCGAGCGCCCAGGGGTCCCTCGCGCGGCCTGGCAGATCCGAGTGTTCCTCGGGCACTGTGTGCAGCACTGCCTGCTGCTGCGGCCGGCCCTCTCGATCTTCCGCCTGCTCTACCGCTTCGTGGACGCGCAGGGCCAGGGGCCCCCAGTCGCTCTGTCTGCTGGGGCCCGCCGGGAGATCCAGCTCTTCAGGGGCCTCATCTTCCAGGCCGTCGTCTTCTTGGACCGGCCGATGTCCTCCCTGGTTTTGTGCTCCGACTCGTCCGAGGCGGGCTACGCTCTCCACCGCCGACGCGCTGACGTGCGACTCCTTCGGCAGCTGGCTGCTACCCGGGAGAGGTGGAGGTTCGTCCCCGACGAGAAGCGGCCCGACGCGGCGCTCGACGACACCTTCTCCCCGGGCTGGGTGCCGGGCGCTGGTGGAGTGCTGGGGGAGCCGCCGGGCGCTACAGGCATGGCCGTCTGGGCCCCCCCGCCGACGCGCTCGAGGGAGGGCGCCCGAGGCGTACTCAAGGGTCGTCTCAGGCCCACTGTGCGACCTGCTGGCGTCTCCGTGCCCGACAGCCTGGTCGATCCCAGGGACTGGTCTCTCATCGTGGAGGGCGCCTGGCGCCGCGGGGCCCCCATTCACCTGCTGGAGGGTCGCATCGCCCTGGGGGGCCTGCGGCGCGCCGCCCGGCAGGTCGACTGCCACGGGTCCCGCGTGCTCAGCCTGGGCGACAACATGTCGGAGCTCCTCTCCATCGAGAAGGGGCGGGCCGTGGACCTCGGCCTCGCCTGCCTGTGCCGGAGGGCCGCCGCCTACCAGATCGCCTGTGGGATCTCCTGGCGGCGCCGACACCTCGACACGGACCGCAACCTCAGTGGCGCGGGGTCGAGGAAGGCGCTGCAGGGCGTCTACCGCCAGGGGCAGCGGCGGGTTGGCGGCAGGTCGGACAGGCCCACTCTGCCCGCGGGCTGCCCGCCGCCGGCGCCCACGACGCCGGCCCCGCCGGCGCCCTCGGCGACCGCCAGCTGGCCAGTCGCCGAGGAGGCTTGCGAGCCTCCCCCCGCGGCGCGGCTGCGCGGCGGCCGACTTCAGACCTGCCCGCCGCGGCCGCCGCCGCGGGCTTCTGGAGCTGCTGGCCGCTGCGGGCCGCGGCGCTCCCCACGGTCACGAGAGGGGCCCGCAGCCGGCGCCCCTGGCCACCCTGCGCGCAAGGCGACGTTCGACGAGGCCGAGGGGGCCCGCGACCTGTCGCCGCCGGCGGCCTGCCCTCGCGGGCGCCGCCCACGGCCGCGGCCAGTGCCTGCGCCGCGGCCTGCTGGGGCCCTCGGACGAGTTGGACGGAGACTCGTGCCGGGGGCTCGGCTGCTCTCTTCCGAGCGGGCCCCGCCACGTCTTGGCCGCTCCGGGCCGCGTACGCGCGCCGGGAGCGCGCCGCGCGGGCCGCCTGCCCTCGGGAGCCTTCGTTTGCATGCCCGGCCTGGCCGAAAATGGACGACAGTGCCTCCCGGGCTGCCGCCCCCTCCGCCCACGCCGTTCGTCGCGGTCGAGCCGGCTCGTGTTCCTGTACCTCGGCTTCGTGGACGTCGGGCGGCTCTCGAGATCTTCTCGGGGGGGGCTCGCTGGACGGGGGCTCTCGCGCAGCTCGGTCTGGCGGTCGCGGCTCCGATCGACATCAAGTTCGGGGGTTGGGGCGACCTGCTTCGGCCCAGCATCGAGACCGTCGTTCGCCAGTGGATCGTCTCTCGCAAGGTCTGGTTCGTGCACTTCGGGACTCCGTGCACTCCGTGGTCAGTTGCTCGCCGTGGGGCCAATGATACGTCTGCTATACGCGCCGGTCGGCGGTGTGCTCATGTCACTCTTCGTCTACTTCGATTGTGCGTTCAGTTCGGCGTCAGGTGGTCCCTCGAGAACCCCCGGGGATCTTGGCTCTTCTCTTGGGAGCCTCTCCAGAAGTTCCTGTCCGAGCATAGCAAGGTCTCCGTGGTATATGACTGCTGTCAGTTTGGAGCCCCGTACCAGAAGCCCACCAGGATTGAGTCTGACCTCCCCGAGCTCGGTATCCTTGAAAGGCGTTGTCTTGGAGGTCATGCCCACGAGCATCTTCAGGGGAAGGTCAAGGTCCGTGATCGCCAGGGTCGGCTCAAGCAGTTCTGGCGCACGACCCTGGCTGGAGCCTACCCTCCTGGAGTCTGCCACAGCGCCGCCCGGGCCTTGGCGCGCGCGGCGCCGGCTGCAGCCTGGCGACCAGATGGGGATCCACTGCTGCCCGGTCACTGGGAGGCTCAGCTCCGCCGTGCAGCCAAGATGGTCGACGTCCAGCCGTCCCTCGAGTGCCCCAGCTGCCCGCGGAAGTGGGTCGCGCTCTGGCCGCCAGACGCCGAGGGGTGGGGCCGCTTCGTCGGCCTCCCGCGGCCGCGGGCAAGGCCGAAGCCTCGGCAGAGGCCGGGCGTCGGCTGCCCGGGCCCGCCAGGTGCCCGCTGACTCCTCGCCGGGCTTCCTGCGGCGTTCGCAGGTGCGGCCGGCCACTCAGGCCCGCTACCTCGCCAGCGTCGCCGTGTTCGCCACGGCCATGGGTGTCGTCGCCGACCGCTGGGTGAGCAATGACCTCCCCCTGGTGGACACACTCCTTGAGGAGTACTTCGAGCAGCTCTACGTCGACGGCGGCAGCAAGAGCACGGCCCGCTACACCTTGGCCGCCTTGGCCTACCGTTTCAGCGTGTCTCTTCGTGCCCCAGGCGTCTTCCCGAAGGCGAAGGGCGCCCTCGCTGGCTGGGGCAAGCTCGAGCCGGACGTCACCTCGGAGCCGCTCTGCTGGGCTGCTGCGTGCTTGATGGCTCTGTACCTGGCCGGCCTCAACACGGAGATCGCCCTGCAGGCCGCCCGCGGCCTGGTGGTGCAGTTTGACACGTACCTGCGCCCTGGTGAGCTGCTGGACCTCCGCGTGCCCTGCTGCATCCTGCCGCAGCCGAGTGCCGGCTCAGGGTACAACAAGATGGGGCTCGTCGTCGGCGCCTCCGCGCTGGTCATGGGCGACGACGTCACACGCGCGTCACCAAGACTGGCCTCCAGGACGACACCGTGCTCATCGATGGCCAGTCTCGTGCGGGTGTGGCTGGCGCGCTCATGGCCCTCGTCAAGAGCGCCAACCAAGCCCGCCAAGGGCGCCTCATGTTTCTCCATTCGTACGCTTCGTACAACCGCTTGCTCAAGAGGGCCGCCGTCGCCGTCGGCCTCCCGACCAAGGTGACAGCCCACCTCCCTCGGCACGGCGGTCCGTCGGAGGACTACTTGAGAGGTGCCCGCTCGCTGGCCGACATTCAGTCTCGTGGCAGGTGGTCGAGCTTCCGTTC